GATCTCTTGACCTCGTGATCCACCCACCTCGGCCTCCCAAAGTGCTGGGATTACAGGCTTGAGCCACCGCGCCCGGCTAGGTTTCGTACTTTTTAAAAGAAATTTTGTCAAGAGTGGCTGTTGAATTTTACTGAGTACTTTTTTGTCATTTTTGTAGTAATCCTATAGCTTTTTGACCTAGTGCTATGAGACGTTTTAATAGACTTTCAAATATCAAATCTTCTTTGCCTTTCTGAGATAAATATAACTTGATTATGGTGGTTCATTATTTTAATAGAGGATTTAATTTGTTAATTAGCATTTTATTTAAAATCAATATTGATAAGTGGGACTGATATTTTTCTCTGTTGTCAGGTTTTAATATCAGTGTTATACTACTATAGAAAAGTTTATTATGTTACTATATTTTTTCCTACTCAGAAACAGTTTATGTATTAAGAAAATTATCTCTTCCTTGAAACCTTTAATAAATCATCTATAAAACTAATAGCTTTTTGGGAAAGTAATTCTTTGATAAGTTTTCAATTATTTCCATTGTTATTTTTCTATATCTTAAGTCAACTTCACCGTTTATTTCATTTCAGACAAGTTAGTCTGAGTAAAATGCCCTTGGACTGCCTTATTATTTACTTAGCTTCTGGTAAAAATCCTATCCCAGTTGTAAAATCATTGTTTGGGTAGAGATGAACAGCCCCTATCTAATGTGGGCTGTGTTGAAGTGTAAGGCAGTTGTCTGCTGTCTTCACAGCCCAGTTCTCTGGCTTCTAGGGATGGGTAGGATGTTTATAATCTAATGAATATAAACCAATCTTGAGTTATTTGACCAGATGGCAGAGGTGAAAGAATTGCAATCCTTGGTATCTGTTCCCTCCAATGGATCTCCTCTCTGCCCTACTGTGTTTCGTGTCTGAAGACAGTTCCTTCTAAGATACAATGCAATTCTGAATGGGTTCAGAAGGGAGAGGACTAGTGGCAGGAGGAGGCTTGGGGAAAGGTTGCCTAAACCTGTCTGACTCTGAGAGTAGTGACAACCAGCCAAGTTTTCTGTTTAATCCAACACTTGGTACTACACACTAGGAATAGATAGCAATTTCTAGAAATCGTTACTTTTTACCCATCTACTTCTGAAGGCATACATATATATTTCAAAGGGAAATTGTCATGAGTATTGAGGAAAGCTGGTACAGCTTAATCTTAACCTTGAAATCAACATTCTTTAATTTTTTACATATGGATTTAGTTCAGTTTTTTTAGATTAAAATCTTTCCTTTTGTTTTCACATATTTGAGCCCTTTTTAATAGTTGCCTTAAATGTAAAAACAAACAAACAAAAATTCCAAGCAGTAATCTGTCATAGATTACATAGTTGTTTCTCATCTCTCATGTTTTCTACGTGTTGTGCATGAGCAGTTTCACTGTGGGTGCTCCTTTCATTTTTGGCTAACAAATTAGAGTGTGTTTATATATATTATTATGATACAGGTCAGTAGTCACAGCCAGAAAACATAAAACATGTGGGCATAACACACTGACACATTAGCTCTTTCTAAAGAAGAGCATGTCCAATTCTGAAAAGAAACTTGTTGCTTTATTTTTGATACTGAGTCTGTATTTAAAAGTTTTTGTTTTTGTTTTGTTTTATTTTGTTTTGTTTTTGAGACAGGGTCTTGCTCTGTTCCCTAGGCTGGAGTGCAGTAGTGTGATCATAGTTCAGTGCAACCTTAAACTCCTGGGCTCAAGACATCCTCCTGCCTCTCAGCCCCTTGAGTAGCTGGGACTACAGGCACACACCACCATGCCCAGCTAATTTTTCTATTTTTTGTAGAGACGAGGTTTTTCTGTGGTGCTCAGGCTGGTCTCGAACTCCTGGGCTCAAGCAATCTGCCTGCCTCGGCCTTCCAAAGTGAAAATGTTTTCTTTCATTTTCCAAATAGAAGTACTAAACAATGCTGGAGAAATAAACAAACAAGCAAAATACATTGGCTATAGTTTATATTCTTTCCTGCTAGAGTTAACAAAATGGGAGAACATTTTATCTTCATGGTCTACTACTTTTATGCCATGTGTTAAGTAATAAAATAGTTTTTGTAAATTATAAATTAAAAGATACATAATTAAAAGAGAAAATACTGTAGAGTTTCATGGAGGTTAGATTCTGCATGCAGAATGTTGAGTCTTGATGTTGGCACTATTCAGGCCCTGATGATAAGGCATTTGGCACTAGATGCTATTTTGTCTTGATGGAAAATACAGCTATTCTAGGATTCTTAAGCCTTTCATAAGAGATAAGATTGTGAATCCTGAGACCCTGGGCTCTTTTACTTAGACAATCTGTTCTCTGGCTCATCCTCTGAAAAGTCTGCTTCATAAGGGGTGTGCTGCATTTGCCTTGCCTACATGGTTGAGGCACACATCTATACTGTCATTTTAGGCTAAATAACCATGTGTCATCTAGAATGAAGTTATATTTTATTAAGGATTGTTTTTGCGGTGTATAACTTATCAAACATTAACCTTCAACGTTATTAATCCTTTTAAGGTCTAGTTTTTCTTAAGTCTGCACAGGAGTAGAGGTATCATCATTCATGTGACATAAAAGATGAAAAAGGGCTTAATTCACGTTAGTGACGGAAATAGGAAAGTAGGTAAAGTGAATCTAATACATGTCTCTTTTATGAAATAATTTTTAAAAGATTCTCCAGCCCTGTATGATTTATGATGAATCATTTTGTGGTCTGTTAGTTACTTCTCGGGAATATAAAGCATTGTAGCTCAGGGAAAGCAAACATTCAGAATGAAATCCAATAGAGAAATCAAATTTATTTATGCATGTACATTTTGGCAGCCTAGGTTGTATACATGTGTACACAATTTGAACATCTGTGTACATTGAAAATCTTTCTTTTTAATTGTTCAGATTTGAAAGAAGACAACACTAAACCACAAATATACAACAAGAAGGCCATTTTCTCAAACAATAGTCAGCCTTTAACAGTAAGTAAAATCAGAATTTATACTGCACTTATATTGAAAAGTATCCCTTTTAAAGAATATGCAAATTAGACATAGTATTTTATTGTAAAATTTCCTAGAGAGTTTTTATTTTTGACTATTATAATACTTTCTGCTAGGTAATTTCCCAGTCAGTTGGAGTATAGAGTATAACATGTTTGTCTAACACAAAACAAAGGTAGGATAGGAAAATGACCTAGAAGTTGAGAAATAACTCAAATCCTTAAAAATGAAACTCTAATTAAAGTCTTTTACATTCCTCTTAATTTTTCTACTTAAGTAACAATTACGTTATTTTAGATCCTTATGATACTTTTAATTAAATTGAGATAAAAATTAAGATCTCTTGCCTGGTTCCCTATTGGCCATGCAGTCATAATTTGTGGTCACAAAGGAGAAATTAGCTTCTTATAAGCCAAATATGCTCCATTCTAGGAAGGAGAATTGCTAAGTTATAGCTGGTACCCAGTATTAAAACTACTTCCTTCCTGGGACTGACTAGATTGGGGTAGGATTTCAGGGGCTCCAGGGGCTTCCAAAGTTTTGGGATATCCACCATGCAGAATTTATCCTTCTGAGGCCTGATTATAGGGTTCTAAGGCAGTTCTTAGTCCCTAACTTTTTTGGGAAGGAAAAGGAGACATGTCACTTTAAGGCTTTATGTAGTTTTAGGACCATAGATTTTGGTAAATCATGAGCTAACACAGAACATCTCATTTTCCTGAAATCTACAGATAAATGAAATCCACAACATTGAATAAAGAATTATCAGTTAGAAAAAGAAATTAATATAGAGATATGTATATACATGGGTTATTATATATACATATGTTTGCTAACTCTGTCTGCTAAGAGGGCCTAGAAGTAGTGACTTTCCAGTAGCAAACTAGATTGTGGTTTCCAAATAGAGGCTGGGCATCCCAAATCTGAAAATCTGAAATTTGAAATGCTTCCGGATTCAAAACTTTTTGGGCATATAGGTGATGCTCAAAGAAAATATTCCTTGGAGCATTTTGGATTTTGGATTTTTGGATTTTGGATGCTCAACAAGTAAGTGTTAAGCAAATATTCCAAAATCCAAAAAAATGCAAAATCCAAGGTATTTCTGGTCCCAAACATTCTGGATAAGAGATACACAATCTGTACCATTTTTCCTTAAAGAAAACCAGAGCTCTTTGGAGAAGGGTTAATTCTAAGCCTGGGGCAGGGAAAATACAAGCTGAGCATGGAGGATGTTGTGGGGCCAGAAAGTAAGGATGTGTTCGGAAGAGTCAACCTAAAAAGAGCTCTCAATGTCCAAAGCTGGAACAATTTGATCAATAAAATAACTATATATAGTATCAAATTGTAATCTTATTTATAAATAAAATATATACATAAGTCCAGGTTGATATGAATAAATGACTGAATAAATAAATAAATGGGGAGAGAAGAACTCCTCCTTGTAAAAGACTTTAATAAATGTAAAAGGAATGGGGGAAATAGAAAATTGTTGTCACAAAGCCACAGCAATAATTGGTGCATGCAACTTCCTCTGATAAATACTAAAATTAGTGAGTGGGCCAGGTGTGGTGGCTCATGCCTGTAATCTTAGCACTTTGGGAGGCTGAGATGGGTGGATCATTTGAGGTCAGGAGTTCAAGACCAGCCTGGCCAACATGGTGAAACCCCATCTCTATTAAGAATACAAAAATTAGCCGGGCGCGGTGGCTCACGCCTGTAATCCCAGCACTTTGAGAGGCCGAGGCGGGTGGATCACGAGGTCAAGAGATCGAGACCATCCTGGTCAACATGGTGAAACCCCGTCTCTACTAAAAATACAAAAAATTAGCTGGGCATGGTGGC